GTCCAATTACGAAATGGGCTATATAACTAAACAGAGAATACTCAACAGAGGAAACTCAAATGCCTGAAAGACATCTAAGGAATTGCTCAACATCCCTAATCATCAGGGAAATGCAAATCAAAACAACTCTGAGATACCACCTTAAGCCTGTCAGAATGGCTAAGATCAAAAACACTGAAGACACCTTATTCTGGAGAGGATGTGGAGCCAGGGGAATTCTCCTCCACTGCTGGTGGGAATGCAAGCTTGTACAACCACTTTGGAAATAAATATGGTGCTTTCTTAGAAAATTGGGAATCCATCTCCCCCAAGATCCAGCTATACCACTCTTGGGCATATACCTAAGGAATGCTCAATCATACCACAAGGGCACTTACTCAGCTAAGTTCATATCAGCATTGTTTGTAATAGCCAGAACCTGGAAACAACCTAGATGCCCTTCAACTGAAGAATGGATAAATTAAATGTGGTACATATACACAATGGAATACTACTCAGCAGAGAAAAACAATGACATCATGAGGTTTGCAGGCAAATGGATGGATCTAGAAAAAAATCATCCTGAGTGAGGTAACCCAAACTCAGAAAGGCAAACATGGTATGTACTCACTCATAAGAGGATACTAGATGTAAAACAAAGATGACTAGACTCATACTCACAACTCCAGGGAGGCTACCTAGAAAACAGGACCCCAAGAAAGACACAGGGATTGCCCAAGGACAGAGAAATGGATGAGATCTACATGAACAACCTGGGCATGAGTGGGGGTAATAAAGGGCAAGGGTCGAGGGAAAGAGAGCTTAGGGGAGCAGGAGATCCCAGCTGGATCAAGAACAGAGAGGGAGAACAAGGATTAAGAGACCATGGTAAATGAAGACCACATGAGAATAGGAAGAAGCAAAGTGCTAGAGAGGTCCACAGAAATCCACAAAGATACCCCCACAATAAACTACTGGCAATGGTCAAGAGAAAGCCCGAACAGACCTACTCTGGTGATAGGATGGCCAAACACCCTAATTGTCCTGCTAGAAACCCCATCCAATGACTGAGGGAACCAGATGCAGAGATCCACGGCCAGGCCCCAGGTGGAGCTCTAGGAGTCCAACTGGTAAGAAAGAGAAGGGTTTGTATGAGCGAGAATTGTTGAGACCAAAATTGAAAAAAGCACAGGGACAATTAACCAAACGAATGGAAACATATGAACTATGAACCAATAGCTGAGGAGCCCCCAACTGGATCAGGCCCTCTGAATAAGTGAGATAGTTGATTAGCTTGGTCTGTTTGGGAGGCATCCAGGCACTGGGACTGGTACCTGTCCTCAGTGCATGAGCTGGCTGTTTGGAACCTGAGACACTTGGCTCAGCCTGGGAGGAGGGGACTGGACCTGCCTGTACTGAATCTACCAGGTTGAGCTGAATCCCCAGGGGAGTCTTTGCCCTGGAGGAGATGAAAATGGGGGGGGGAGGGGGGGGACAAGGGAATCCGTGGCTGATATGTAAAATTAAATTAAATTATAAAATTTACAAAAAAATTTATAAAAAATAAAAAAATAGAAAAGATGAAAAGACGGGAAAAAAAAAAAAAGGACTCATTCAGCTGGAGGTTATGGCACACAACTTTAATCCCAGCACTCAGAAGGCAGAAGTAGCCCAGGGTTACATAGTGAGACAAAAGAAAAGAAGAAAGAAAGGAGGAGGAAGGAGAAGAAATAAGAAAAGAAGAAGAAAGAAGAGAAGAAAGAACAACTATCCAAGCTCAGTTCCCAGCAATATCAGGCAGCTCACAACTGCCTAAAATTCCAACTCCAGAACCTTCTTATACCTTCATACAAACCTGTACACAAATACATAGACATACACATAATTAACACAAAACAAATAGTCAAGCATGGTGAATGTCTTTAATCCCAACACTTGGAAGGCAGAGGTAGGCAGATCTCTTTGAGTTCAAGGCCAGCCTAATCTACATAGTGAGCTCAGGACAACCCAGGGCTACACAGTAGCATAGAAAGAGCAGGTCTGCAAACAAAAAAAAAAAATTAATATTTTTTTTAACACCACGACTTGGAAGGTCATATTATTATGGAGGGTTTTTGTTTTATTTGCTAAATAAACATAGTGTCAACATTTCTAAATATTTACATTTATGTCTAGATTTATGCTGCTCTCAATCTTTGTCAGAAAAGCTTCTTTTGGATGTGAGAGCAGTTAATAGAGATTCATGGCTGTTCAGTGTGATGAAAATAAGTGACTGTTGAATGCTCAGCCTAAATGAGAAATCTGTATCAACCTTTCGAAGGACTCTAAAAACATCATGGAAAAGGAGGTAGGAAGAATATAATAGCCAGAAGATGTGGATGGGTGATATAAAATGCTTTCTTCTGGGGACTACAAAGATGATTCAGTGGTTAAGAGCACTGACTGCTCTTGCAGAAGACCTATGTTCAATTTGCAGAACCCATGTGGCAGCTTACAATTATCTATGATTCCAGTTCCAGGAAATTAAATGCCTTCTTCTGGCCTCTGGGGGCACTTAATGCACATGGTACAGATACATACATGCAGATAAACACTCATTATTTTAAGGTGTGTTACTTTTGTTCATGATGCATTTGTTTAACTCTGTAAAGCTGTGGTTCTTTTCCTGTCTAAAACAACTGACAGTCTAATAAAGGACTGAACAGCCAATAGCAAGGCAGGAGAAAGGATAGGCAGGGCTGTCAGACAGAATATCTAGAAAGGGAAATCTGGGGGGGAAAGGAGAAAGAAAACAAGGAGAGGAGGATGCCAGGAGCCAGCCATGAAGTAAGAGTCAAAGTAAGATTACAGAAGTAAGAAAAGGAAAAAAGCACAGCACTGTTAATTGCCACGATTTAAATAAACCAACCCACATTCATGCTCATGCAAACAATTCTAATTAAACTAAGGATCATTATAGTTGGTAGTAGTGATACACACCTTTAATCTAAGCACTTGGGAAGCAGGGGCAGGTGGATCTCTGTGAGATTAAGGCCAACCTGGCCTACATACTGAGTTCCAGAACAGCCAGGGCTAAATGGGTCACACACACACAAAGACAGGCTGATGAAATGGTTCATTTGGTAAAGGTGCTCATTGCCATGCCTTAACAACCTGAGTTCAATCCCTGTTACCCACATTGAAGAAGCGAACTGATACCAGCAAGTTGTCCTTTGACCTTCATACAAGTGCTGTGGCATTCATATCCACACATATGCATACACTTCACAAAATAAATCAATTAAATGTAATCTTGTTTAAAAGATAAGTGAAAGTAAGGAAGATGACTTGTTATCAGGAAGAAAGAAAGGGTTTCAATGGAAGTATGAGTGAATGAGAGATAGTTTAGGAGGTAAAGAGGACCAAAATATGTTAAATACATGTACAAAACTGTCAAAGAATAATTAACAAAAACAGTAAATTAATAAAGCAAAGATAAAACCAGTAGGGGAGCCACATGTAATTGTGCACACCTTTAATCTCAGTATTTGGGAGGTGAGGCCAGCCTGGTCAACATAGGGATTTCCAGGACAGCCAGAGCTACACAGTGCAACCCTGATGGGGGGAGGGAGTAGAAAAAACAAGTGAAAATAAATTTTGGCAAGTGTACACTATTACAGGCATTATTCAGTGTGGAGTTTTCTCAAGAAAATTAAAGAATGCTATCATATGACCCAGCTATACTTTTCCTATGGAAGGGCTCTGAACAGAGAAACTTGCACAACTGTGTTTTCATTGCTGCTCTACTCACAACAGTCTCAATGTTCATTGGTAGATGAACAGATGATGAAAATATGGTTCACAATGGAATTTTATTCAGCTGTAAAGAAAAATGAAATTATGAACCAGCACCCATTGCTGCAGCCTCAGCAACAGAGAAGCCAGTTTCAGCATGCTGGCTGGCACAGGCAATCTTCAGTCCAACTTGATGGCTCCTCTCTATCTAATACCTACAAAAGCTGCAATGTGAGGGAATTTCTGCCTCAAAATGAATTTCCTGTCTCCTACTGCCCCCTCTGCATCCATCACAGCCACTCACTGATGCCCAGCCACAACCAGTTCACAGCTGTAGCTGGAACTATATTTACCACTAGCCACCCCCTTCACTGCTGTATTAATTACTTTTTTAATTCTGTGATAAAACAAGATCACCAAGTAAACTTATAAGAAAAAAGAATCTGGGCTTATGGTTCCAATGGGTATGGTCCCAGCGGGTCAGAGTTCATGATAGTAGAGAGAAGGCATGACAGCTTACATCTATAACAGCAAGTAGAAGGCATAGAGAAACTCAAGTCTTTTGAAGCCTCAAAGCCTGCCCCCAGTGACTGGCTTCCTCCAGCAAGGCCACACCTCCTTAATTCTTCCCAAACAGTTCCAACTGGGCACCAAACATTCAAATGTATAAGCCTGTAGGAGTCATTCTCATTTAAGCCACCAAAATTGCAGAAGCCAACACGGAACCCCACTAGACTCATCAGCAGCTGTCTCCATGACTAGTGTACCCCTGATAATCTTGAAGTGAACCCTCTGCTATAGAAAAACAAATACTGGATGAAGTCCTCAGCAGGGTAACTACCAAGAATGGGGCTACAAAGCTACAACTAATGGGCTGCAGAGATGAGTCAGAGTAAAGAGCACTTCCTGTTCAGGACCAAGTTTGGTTCCCAGAACCCACATCAGGTGGCTTACAACCTCCTGTGACTCTAGCTAAGGGGACCCAATACCTTCTTCTGGCCTCCAAAGACATGTGCACATACATGGCATGCATTCACACATACATGTAAATAAAAAAATAAAATAAATAATGAAAAAAGCTGAGACTAGGAAACCTGGGTGTGAATCTGCCAGACAGAAAAACAACTCAGCTTCTCCATGGGCCTACCTGGAATCACAAGTATGTAAATGCTGCATTGTGATCTCATGGAATCTCTGGTGTCACTAGCCAATAGTAAACTCTTTCAGTGCTAGGGATGGTACTCAGGCCTCCTGCTGGTCACTGTAATTGTTCTGTGACTGAATCACCAGCTAGCCCTTTTGATGGCTAATCTTAGTTGTCAGCTTGACTGCAATCAAGCTGGAATCCAAGCTGCTAAGCACTCCAGTGAGGAATTTTTTGATTACATTATTTGAAGCAGAAGGCACTTTCTGATGCCAGCCCAGACAAAAGAACATAGAAAAAGGAAACTGCTTTTTACCTGCTTGCCCTCAGTCTTACTGTGAAGTCCATTTATCCTGTTGCTGAGGCATTACTTGAACACATTAGAACCAACGTCTTTGGATTCCAAAGTAGATTGACATCTTCAGCTTTCCATGAATTCTCCAGACTTTCAGTGCCAGGTAGAGACTGCTAAAACATCCAGCCTCATGGACTGTGCAACTACTGGGTTGTTGGACTACTCAGACCACATCCTGTAAGGACAATCTAATAACCCCATATATATACATTCTCCCAGTCCTGTTTCTCTAGAGAACACTGACTGATATACCTTCTACCATATCCTCTTTTTTTCTTGGTTTTTGTTTGTATGTTTTTTGTTTTTGTTGGGATTTTGTTTTGTTTTGTTTTTCTTTTTTCTTTTTTTTTTTTTTTCTTTTTTTTGGTGGTGGTTGGTCAATTGGTTTTGTTTTGGAAACAGAGGTCCCTGTATCCTACACTGGCCTCAAACTTGTTACATACCCTAGAATGATCCTGACCTCCTGATCCTCCTGCCTCCATCTCCCCAGTGCTGGGATCATAAATGTATGCTAACATTCATAGTTTTATGAAGTGCTGAGAACTGAATCCAGAGCTTTCAGCATCCTAGGCAAGCACTCTATCAACTGAGCCACATCCTCAGCCTCATTACACATGTTATCCCACATCTATGCAGTCACACACTGAAAACAATGTCTCTATACAGTACATTACTGCATGATACTTATGTATATGTCTATTCTACAATAAAAAAAAAAGCACAAAGCTGAAAAATCTTGTCAGAAACAGGTGAAAAGGATTAAATCAACAAATGCATAAAGCTGGTGGGGAGGGGTGGCCAAATAGGCCAAGTGGACAAACTGAACCAAAAGGCAACTGACACCCTAAAAGAGCCAGACAAGGGGAAAGAGTGCCATCTAGCTTTGTCTTGCTGTATTCCACTGTGTTCTTAAGGGGGGTAGGGTAAATATCCTCCTGCTACTATGGAAACCAATTATTCCTCAACTATGGGTCATGCTAGTTGGACTTTTTTTTTTTTGGTTTTTCGAGACAGGGTTTCTCTGTGTAGCTTTGTGCCTTTCCCGGAACTCACTTGGTAGTCCAGGCTGGCCTTGAACTCACAGAGATCCGCCTGGCTCTGCCTCCCGAGTGCTGGGATTAAAGGCGTGCGCCACCACC